CTTCACTGAGTTACGCAAGCCCCTTCGCCACGACAAGGCAGTGATCCATGAAGGGGATTTCCTATATATATGTCCCTTTTTCTTTTCAGGGTTTTAAAAAGCTCTGTGTGTATCTACACTGGTCTTTTTGAATGTCTTCCATTTTTCCTTCTTGGAGGAATTGTTCATTTGTTCATTGTGATTCGATTCAGGATCTCATTTTGCAGAAGTTTCCATCCTTCCTGGACACTTTTCTCCTTCAGGATTTTAGCTACTGGATCTGACTGACCATCTGAGTACGCCAAAATCTACTCTTCTGCAATTAAGTATACAAGGAGTCAGCTTGACATCATGAACTCAAAGATAACACAATCATTTTCTCCCAAGGTTCCAGACACCTTCACTTTTTCAACCAGTTCATTCCTGTTGGTAAACCTTTAAGATAGCAGAATCCCTTCTTCCTTCTTTTACCTTCTGAAAAATGAAATTGTCAACAAAGACAGGAATTTTCTTACCTTTAACTTTAGATTTCCAGAAGATGTCAGTGTTGTGGATGCATCCCATTACTAATTTTGTGTGCTTAAAGTTTGGTCATCTGGCACAGAAAGGTCTCATTCAATAACATCCATGGAGAGAGGGAGGTCAAATTCTGCAAGATGGTGGGTATGACACTGCAATCAAAGCCTTGCCCCTTTTGTATGTATGGCAACATCACACCCACATACAAAAGTGTTAGAACAACATTGGACCCACTAATTTGCAGATATTGACGCTCATTCCCATGGACACGCAAGGCTTCATCCATATCTTCTGCTTGCCCAGGCAGTTTATAATAAACTCACATGACACTCTTGTTTCTTTCCTTTTATTCTTACCCAAACACTCTCAAAGAATTCCATGCTCAGTGTTGTGAATTTCAGTGCAAGTGTATGCTTCCTTTATGTACAACACAACACCCTTCCTTTCTGTTTGGCCAGTTCCTTTGGAATAATTTGCACCTTCCAGGGCTGGGTTCCAATCATGTGTGCCATCCTAAGTTTCAGCCTACAACACTGTATTTGTCCTCCTGTGATTTGAAATTCTCCCTGTTTGTTTCCCAAATTTTGGCCAATGGTGCAGGAACATCTGAGATTGTTAATAGTATCACCTACTAGCTTTGTTGTTGTTGCTTTTTGCTAATTTCTAAGTCCACTCTCCACGTTTGTGTTTCTCCCTTTGTCTCCTGAGTTGTTGTCCCCAGTCCTTAATGGGGAATATTCAGTTCTGAGTTTTTGTCACACTCCCCTTTTTGCTCCAGTTTAATGCTCTCCTAATGAGAGGTGCCTGCTGAAGATGGACTTGGTCCCTATGAGACCTAGTTAATACAGTTCATGATCAAAGAACTCAAACTCTTTTCAGTGGCACACTCACCAAATCCCATTCTCTCTTCTTACAGTGTGAGAACTAGAAGGACTGACAAAAATTTAATTTGCACTCCCAGTTCCTTCATCTTCCTGCCCTGGGCCTTGTAGTCTCTGGAAATCCATTCAGAGTCTCTTTTGACAGTGTCATTCATCCCCACATCAGTTGTATGGAAGAAATACTTATTGATGAGTTTGAAGAGTCTTGGCAGCCTATCTGGCTCATCCTGGATATGGGCACCAGGAAGGTAACACACTATACTTTCCACAACTTCATACCAAGTTTGCATATTGCAGCTTTGGTTCCTCTTAGCAGGAAATCACCTATTGCCACCATGTGTCTCTCTTTCCTGAAAATGGTTCTTTTTTTTGACCCGTGGGGGCCCAGGTATCTTCCACCCTGTTCTGGGAGGCTGGGATTGGTGAAATTTGCTTAGGGGACTGAGAATTATCTACAGCAACAGCTTGATATCAGATTTATTTATTTATTTATCAAATTTGTCACCACCCATCTCATTAAAAAGCGACTCTGGGTGGTTTACAGAGAAGATAAAATCAATTAAATAAAAGCAGTCTTAAATAAATAATAGATACATTCCAAGAATTGATGGAATTGGCGAGTAGCTCAGGGAGCGTCATCAGAGTGCCAGCCACCCCCAGGATTGATTAGAGCTCTTATCACCCCACACAAGCTGGCAGAGCCAGGTCTTTAGTCCTTTCCAGAAAGCTGGGTGGGTGGGGGCCTGCCACACCTCTGGGGGGAGAATATTCCAGAGGGTGGGGGCAACAGCAGAGAAGGCTCTCTTCCTGGGTCCTGCCAGCTGACATTCTCTTGTTGACAGGGTCTGCAACTTGCCCTCTCTGCCTGACTGGGTGGGACGGGTTGATGTGATAGGGGTGAGACGGTCCCTCAGGTAATCTGGACCCATGCCATGGAGGGCTTTAAAGGTGATAACCAACACCCTGAATTGGACCCGGAAGCAAACTGGTATCCAATGCAGCCCCCACAGTAAGGTGTTATATGTGCCATCCTTGGGGCACCCAAGATTGTCCGTGTGGCCACATTTTGAACCAGCTGTAGCTTCCGGATACTCTTCAAGGGTAGCCCCGTGTAGGGCGCATTGTAATAGTCTAACTCAGTTGCTGAGCTCCACTGGACCTGAATACCTCCTGATCTTCTTACTCTTCTGGGTCACATGCTTCACTTGTTTTCCTTTTCACTTGTTTTCTGGCACTCACTCTTTTCCCCCTGCTAAGGAGTGCCACCTGTTCTACTAAGAAATTCTCACCTTCCCTGGCATATTGCAGTATAGAAACTTACTCCCTAAGCCTTTTACTTTCTCCAATAAGGACACAAACTTTCACTTCCAGCAGGTATAGTTTGGGTTCTTTTCAAGCAAGAGGACAAACATTACATTCACCTTGCAAATCACTGAGAAGCTTTGCTGTCCACACTGTTTGGAATTTATTGGAGTCTCACTCTGCCCAACTCTAATTTGCTTTCTTTATTTGCTTGCTCAGTGGTCAAGAAGAAAAATATTACATTCAGGTCATCCTTCCAGAAGATGCATGTCTATAGCAAGCTTACCACTGAATTTATGTACGTTTGCATCCAACTTAGTTATGAAGAATTTCTTAAAAATAGCATCACTGTAGCTCTAATCATGAAGCCACAAAGATGAAACGAGTAGAATTGAGCACATGATAGGAAACCACAGAATTTGAAGAACTTCGGCTGTTGGCTGCCCTGCCAAGATTAGAATTTGAATCATTCCCTTGCTGACTGTGACATTTAAAAATCTGAACTCCTACATTTGAAAAGTTGATCGTTCTAATCCCATCCACTCACTTACTGCCCCCTCCCAAATAATTTTATTTAGCTCAGATTCTGATACCAAAAAATTGGTAACTTCTCTGAAATGTCAATATTGCCACATTATCCAAGCCACAACCACAAATCAGTTCCAAGGGAACATCTGCAAATACTGAAATATGGATGGAGGTGAGGATATCCCAATTTTTAGAATTATTAAACTTTTGATTCCAAGTAATACTGGAGACTGAACAAGAGTTTGGTGCTGAGGGCACAGCTTCATGACTTGCCCTAGAAGACCCTATATTTTATCAGGTGAGAAGATCAGTTAGTTTCAGCATACCAAAGTATTCTTCTTTCCTTCTCTCCCATTTCAGATCACTATGCCACTGATCACAATTCCCTTCCATGACCTGCTGAACTTGGACCTCCAAACCTGAATGCCTCATCTGTCCACTTCATACATTTGGTGGAATCTTTTCCTGCTGAAGTGTAATATTTACTCCTCTCCCCTGGCAGCCCCAGGAATTCAACTGCAGCCATGGGACCTCCTACTCATCTGCTGACAGGTCAGGTTGGTGCTGAGAAATGGCACAAGGACACACGTACAACAATACAGGAAGCCTCTACATTGACAAAGCGATGTGGCAAGGAGGCCCTTGAACTTTGGTATCCTGCCCAAGTCCCTGGCCAGCCTGAAGAAACACCATATGAGCACAAGCTGAAGCTTGACACTTGGAAATTCAAGTTAGATGTCTTGCCTACTGGAGAGGTGATGAAAAAACCCCCAGAGGGGCCAGGGGTGACCCTATGGAAGAGCAAAATGAAGCCTCCCCCTTGGGTTTGCAAGTTAGCCTTGCCTTGCTCCCGGGACTATAGCAACACCAAGACCAATGAATTTGTAGCCCAGTACTTCAGGGTGACACGCCTGGTAGTAAGCCGCATGCGCCAGGCTCTAATTGAAATCAATGAACAGTTCAAGGGGCTATTGCGCATGCGGCAGCAACTTGACACCATGTTGGATAAAATCCGCCAGGGCCTCATGACTAACAAGCAGAGCCAAGCCATCCGGGAGCACCGGGCAGAATCAGAAAAGGTGAGACCTGCATTCATTTCAAATCCCTTTCCTTCCTTGCTAATCGACACCACTGACTTGCCTGTATGCTGAGTGAAATCATATGTTAGTGAGTACCAGAGACACATGACTTATTTTTCTTAATCCATCTACATATACCAGTTTTTCAAACTCTGGTCTTCTTTTATAAGGGGATCGGAATCATCGGACTGTGTTCACATATCACAATAATATCTTATAATATTGCTTGCTTGACTCTATCTTAGCTCAGTGTATGAGTTCAGCCATTGTGAGTTGTAAACTGGGGTCATGACCTAATGCATTGTATGAACCCAGTCCATTTGTTGGGCAAGCCATGATTAAACTACTCATGGCTCAGAAAAATGAACTGAGTTGATGTTACCTAGGAGGATGGTAAGCACTCCAGTATTCAGTATTAGTACAAGAAAATTATTTTGCTATTTTTTAAAGAGCATATGTGCAAAAGTATTATGTTCTTGGCATGGCACATCTAAATAATGAACTAACTTGTTCTGATGAATTGGCCATTGGCTTCCTATCCTGTCTGTTCCCCATATCTGTTATGGCCATTATGCTGAACACAGATGTTCCATTTAATCATCTGAGCTACTGCTGTGACAAGAACCAATTTCCATGGATTTCCTTAATTAATTTTTATACCCTTCTGAATTTGCCATCATTATCATGAGATCCTGTGGCAATGGTGAATATTTACTGAATGAAAATGGGCTTTCTTTTATCTGTCCTGAACCTACTATGTAATTGAATAACCTTGCCTTCATATGAATCTGTCTGATCATACATTTCATAACTGTAAACACTTGGTATGCCTTTCCAGCTTTCTCCATTATCATAGGTATCTACTTCCATAAATAAAACATTGTAGAAGTATAATATACATATATGGAGATAGTGAAAAGGAAAATAATAATGACCCTCTTAATATTGAAATAGTGATCACAGTGGGTTGCCCATTTCCACTACTTTAAGAAGATTTTTGTTCTAATCTTCTATTTCTGTATCCCAACACACACACAATTCACTTTAGTGTATAACCATTCCTGCTCAGGAGGGTTACGCTCAGTGGCTACATGTGTTTTTTTCAGCAGACCTGGGGATCGCTTGATAATAGGGAGCCCACAAACTGTATCACAAAGATTCTGATGCATTCTCCCGCTATCTTGTTTATATTTATGTCTAATTGTTTTAATGATTATAACACAGTCTTAAATTGTTGGTTTTATTGTATGCCACCCAGAGCCACATTTGGAAGATGGGCGGCTATATAAATTTGATAAACAAACAAATAAATATTTACTTTCTGGCACGTAGATACCTGACAAAGTAGATGCACTCATGAAATGGGAGAAGGAGGAATTTAGGAAACTGAAAGTCAAACTAGAGGGCCTGATGGCAATGTCAGGAGATCATCTTAAGGTAAGGAATTAAGCAGATGAACAGGGATGGCAAGATCCCATCATCCATATCTCAGTGGATACCAACTGGCTATCAGATGAAAAAAATCAAAGCAGAAAATATAGGAAGGATTTAGATTTGTCCTAGATTTGCATCCAAGGGAAGACTACGGAAATTGCTTTTTCAAAATCTGCAATCCTCAGTACCTGAGAGAATGAAAACCATATCTTGAGATGAAATTCTGATCAACTTGCTGATGATTTGCATGGAACTGAGAATCACAGCTGGTGGAACAGTGCAGTTAAGGTCGTACTCAGCAAAGTACTTAGGGCTGTACACAGTGTTGTCCAAACTTGGCCACTTTGAGCGGACTGGCTGGGGAATTCTGGGAGTTGAAGTCCACTCATCTTAAAGTGGCCAAGTTTGGACAACACTGGCTGTACAGAACCCCAAAGCAATGTGACTGTTCCTTGCTTGGCTTACAGCAAGCATGTGGAATCTGTGGCCTTCCAAGGCTGCTACTAAACCACAACTCTTAGTTGTACCTGGTATCTGTAAGGTAAATGCAATTTAACTTCTTTGGAACTGCAGGCTCTCTTATCCCTGGCTTATCACGTAAGAGCCTGTGGAAGTGACTATTACCAATGTGATGATACTGAGTCAATTGGAATAATATGATCATATCATCTTCTTGATCAGCAATTGTGGAAAGTGTGAATTTTAAGATGCTCTGTTTGCTGTTTGGTAAGGGCTGAGGAGCTGGGTCTCTGTTGGACAAGTGAAATTGTCACTGCAGAAGGCAGTTTACTGGGGAGAGAAGCCAAGTCATTGCTGGCGTCAGCTAAGTCAGAGACAGGGCTTCTCTTCTTAGCTTTTGGTGCTGCAGCAAAGTGGAATGGTTTAGATATAAGCCTAGCAGGCTGAATGAAAGGGGCTGTTTCCTCTTTGGTTTCTTCCTTATCAGTGCCCAATTTTTTGCAGAAACTAGGTACTTGTAGGCAAACCCTGAATACCCTGTGTGGTGAACGTGGCCGTGTGCTCGACCTGATGCCACAGCCTCTGCGCATGGTTCTCTTAGGGGCTGGGCGGGATTCCTGGCTTGGCCTGGACCGGCCCTCATCCCCCTGGGTGCAGCGAAATGAAACACCGATTCCAGACCCAGTGGGACCATTCACACCAGGTAAGAGAAAGAGCAAAAGTTACTATAACTTTTGGGGGATGTACCGAAGGAGATGCTTACTGGTTTGATATGACATTCTGGTTATCAATTAATAATGAAAAAAGAAGAAAAAGATTAAGTGTATTTCATATATTAGCAATCACTTATCTTCCCCTACCTATCAGTGGCATTTCACCTGTAAGAAACAAACTGTACAGATGAGTCTGAAGCTGTTATCTATTGAAGAAAAGGCTTCTACAGTGGCGTTTGGATACACATTGCAGACAAACATGTCTGCCTATCCCTTCATAAAATGGGGAAATTTAGAGGCTTTTGGCTTGCTTTTTTCTAGAATTTTTCAGGAGTTCTGAAGGCAACTCAGGCAGATCCTCTTAAGACCTCCATAAGAAGTCATCAGAATCCTCAAATGCTGTAGTTGCTACAGCATCTCATACAAGCAAAGGGACCATGACAGATTGTGCAGAGGCTCAAAGAGCAGTATCTCTAGACAAAAACAATCAACAGATGGAAAGGTTTGCTGAGCTGATTGTGCCTACAGCCTGAGAAAAAGAAATTCAAAAGTTTCAAGGAGATTAGCGAGATTAATGAACTAATTAATAAAGAAGGGCTGAAGGGTTTCTATCTCAGTTCTTGCTCATGCTCTAACCCTTAATTCTTGACATTAAAACTCATTAAAGAAAGTTGGGGTAAATCTTATTTCTCCAGTCATGCTCTGCAGTTATGGAGCTTGGTGTCTGTTCAGACGTGAAAAGACGAACGTCCCTCAAAGTCAGCAAAGTATGTTTTCAGATAAGTGCCTCCCCTCACATATCAGACAGCAGGCTAGAGCATATGTTCTCATAAGTGGATCATGCTATGAGGAAGAAACCCCAGCATTGCCGTCTCTCCTTCTCCACTTTTAAACCTGCATTGGTATTTGCATCTCCCCAAATTCACAAAGACAAGAAGAAAGAGGGACAAAGTGAGAGGCAAAGACAGTCTGTGGAGTCCTGGGAGTTCTCTGAGCTGGATTGTTTTCTTGCAGATGTTTCATTACCCAACTAGGTAACATCTTCAATGCTAAAGATAAAGATTTTTTTAAAGATAAAATCAAAATGAGATACAGTGAGAAGGCATATACTTGCTTTTTTATTGACATTCTCTTCTCAAAGCAACTTTCCACATATGTACTACAATGTACATTAATGTAATTAATATTACATTAAGGATGCACTCATCCTTAATTGGATTGATCTAGTTGGCCCAACAGTTGTTGGCATATTCAAGATTCTAGAGTTCTTTGGCCTGAGAAAGAACTGCAGGTAGATTTAAGAACTTGCAAATGGTAAAGGGGTCAATCCAGAGACTTAGCCCAGCACATAACATTTAGTCCAATTTTATGATTCAGAGGTAAAAACACTGAAGTGACATAGGAGAAACTTCAATTAAACAGGAGTAGATTATTTCATGAGTGGCCTGTCATTGCCTGTTCCACTGATAAAGAAAACAAATGAAAGCTGGCTTGTGTCATAAGCCATGTTCAACAAACAAATCAGATATGAGAAGAGCTCATATTTCCTCTCCCTTTCGTTACTGCTATTCTTCAGAGTGTGCAGGAGTTCTAGAAGATGCCCGGCGACTTACTGTTCTCTCCAAGGATATGATGCATCAGTTACAAAAGACTATCAATGAGACACAGGACACCCGTAATACTGTGCACAACGTCATTGAGAATAGCTTGCAAGGCAAGAGAGAGGAGACTCTCGATTATAAGGTAATGGGAGTTGTAATGCCTTAATAGGTTTGCTGTAGCATATGTGAAGACAGTCAGTCAGTCAGTCAGTCAGTCAGTCAATCAATTCACTGATCTGTTCAAAAAGAAGAAAGAAAGCCAATTCTGAGACAAATAAACATTTAATAAAACTAAATGATTACAAAATTGAAGTGGTCCAATGTAAAGCCAGGCTACATACACACAAAACAACATACTGCTTTTGTCATACCCTGTTCTGTTGCTTACAGATCAGAAAGTCATTAGTTTTTTGTCTTTCTCTAGAACAGAATCAAGGACATGCTCCCCCCTGTAATTTTCTGGATCTTGCTGCCAAAGAATCCAGCATAATTTTAAGAATAATTTGCTGATGGGTGGAAAGAAATCCAACCAGTCAGATTAACCTTTGCCTACCCCACTGCCCAGTTCACAAAATGTGTTAAACAGACTAAGGATTGGATAGTTGGTGATTTACAGTCTCAAGTGGCAGCACCCAGGCTGATCCCAGAAGCTAAGCAGAGTTGGCCCTAGTCAGTACTTAGAAGGGACCTTCTGGCATTGCCAGGACGGAAGACTAGACTGGGAAGTTGAAAAAACATTCCTGGAGAAGGCAATGGCAAAGCACTTCCATAACAATGTTGGCTTTACTTTTTTAATCTGTGGTTTAGTTGTTGTGGGGACCCAGCCATTGTTTTCCATGATGTATGAACCAGATCATATTAAGCCATATTTGCTCAGGCATAACATGTTAAATGAATGCAGAAAAAGTGGTTTGTTAATTCATATTTAGAGTTTAGTGTTGTATGAATTGAACCCATCAGAATCTCTCTTTCCTATGCATTTTTTTTTAATGGAAGATTTCCATTAATACTAATGGGGACTTATATTTTGGTTCTGGTGATACGCTGTAACAAATACATTCCTACAAAATATTGTTTTTGATCTAGACCAGTGTTTTTCAAACTTGGCAGCTGTAAGATGTATGGACTTTAACTCCCAGAATTCCCCACCCAGCATGTTGCCAAGTTTGAAAAATAGTGATCTAGACTCTTAACAAAGGACCTTTTTATCCTATCCTGTTCTTCTCAAACCTTGTATCTAGATGCGTGATGCATACTAAGGATCCTCCTGATCCCAGGATATAGGGCTTAAGAAGTCAAATTGCATTTGGAAATTTAGCATGGCTGATCAGCCTAGTTCAAAGATTTTTTTATTCTCTCTCTCTCTCTCCCTCTGACAGGAAAAATTAGACATAACCATGGGAGGAACACGCAGTACTTTGCACCGCTGCCAACGTTTCCAACATGAGATGTGTGTCACTCGTGGAATGACACTGGTGAGCAATTAAGGACTGGGAGCTACCCGTGCTGAAATTCTCTCCCTCAGCCCATTCCAACTCTGATTAGCTGGAGTTTGATTGGAAAAGGGTTGCTTTCCTCTCCATCAGAATCCACCTTTGATTCGAATTCATATCTACAGGGCCCTGAAAATATGAAGTACCTGGAGACACGGGAAAAGCTGACACGGCCAATGGTGAGGGTGTATCAGAGACACGTGGGAACGCAACTGCCTGAAGCTTCAGAGCTCAATCAGGTAAGGGGATAGCAGTGTCTTTATGTAGGATGAGATTATCAGGATCTTGGCACAGTATAGACTACTGGTGTAAGTATAATTTGAAAGAACATTATTTGGCTGCCAAGAGGGACCAAATACAGTGGTATCTTGGTTCACGAACTTAATTCGTTCCACGATTCTGGTCACGAACCGAATTGGTCGCGAACCGAATCGAATTTTCCCATAAGCTTCAATGTAAATAAGGTTAATCCATTCTGAACCATATGTATTTTTTTTTAACCACAAAAAT